AATATATTTCAGTAAAATATATCTAAAATATAAACATTTGACATGTAATCAACGTTGAAGTTAAGATATTTTATGTTCTTTTCCTTTTCCACAAAATCCTCAAAATCCAGTGTGTATTTCTTATAGCACATCTCAGTTTGGACCAGTTTTATTTCAAGTACTAAAGCCGCAAGTGACTAGTAAAGCTACAGACTATGTATTGAACTTGGTGCTGAGGATACAAGACAGCTGCCCCATGGATCTTTCAATCTAGAAAGGAGAATTAATCTAAATGATGTCACCATTTTCTATCTTTCTGAGAAGCTCACATTTTAACTGACTGTTTTGGAAAAATGACTATGTTTATACCCCTTGGATCTGGTCATGCCTCTGTGTGGCAGTTTTTTCCCTATTCTAATAGTTCTCTATTCCACATCCTCAAACAATCTCCTTAGCCTAGTTTAGTTGGAGATATTTCAACATGCCTTTTAAAAAAATCTCCTATGAAAAGTCATCATTGTGCTTCAAAGTCTGGCCAAAAAAAAAAAAAAAGATGTGGCTTTTTGCAAAATCAATATAGTGAAGGGATATTACCTGAGATCTTATTACTAGGTGGATAAATTTCCACATTATGACTCTACCTGATAAGAGCTGAGAATCCTTCATGATAGAAAAGTTGAATGGAAAAGTTATCTTTCTCAGTGGATATCTGCTTTAAAAAAATTAATAAGAAAAACTGGGTGGTTGTAGAGAGAATATATAATAAAAGTAGATAAAAAAGGAAAACATTGCTTCAGAAGTAGTACAAGAAATAACAGAGGCAGAGCCTGGAGAAAATGAGAAGGAAAGAAAAAGGAAACATTAATAGTGTTTATCTGTTCTTGACCCGATTAAGTATGTAACTGCCTATAAGAACGTTTTGACTTTTCCACACTAAGCTGTCCAAGCAAAGTTTATCCAAGAGGGTAATTTTTAGAAAGGAGTTATTGTCTTTTGAAGTTGTAGATAAAGGGCCTGGCAAGAATAGGGAGATAAGATATTTTCTTCGTAGTCTACAACAATCTGATGTTTGTTTAAATATTTAGGCGTAATTCAAAGAACTGAAAGAGGTCTCTTTCAACTGCTACAGATCACCTTGTGATTTCTTTTTTCTTTTTTAATCCTGTTCTGTTTATTGCATGTCTTTTCAGTGATGATTCATGACTTTGATTATGTAACCCATTGATATGAAAACCATTCTGGGTAGATGCCCTCACACCTCTTTGTTCCTCTGGCAACATTACAGGTCCTAGTGATGGTACTTGGCATAATGTTCTTGGGCAACCCAGGGCACCTTTGACTTTCATCAGTGATGTGATCAGTACTTGTGTCCAAAAAGCAAGTGTCTTGGGTAGTTTGGGGTGATGATGCAGGGATTTTAAGCTCTGGGATGCTCTTTTCATAAGCTATTACTGAAAACTACAGTATGGTCTGTGTTTTCATACTAGACACTTTAGAAAATGACTATAATTACATAGAGAAGGGAGTCCAGATTACTTGGTGGGCTTTTTTCACACTTTAAATTACAAAAATATATTTGTGAGTCTGCTCCCATTTTTCATGAAGCATTTAAATCAGAACAACAACATTGTCTTATGTTTAGTGACAAAGGATGATTTCAATAATTGCAAGAAATATTTTTCACCACCAGTAGATGTCTACCGATATATCTCCTCCCCATTCCCCCCACATCTGGCATTCTTGCTTTTAACATTGAAATATTGTGTGTCATTTCTTTTCATTGCGATATTTTCAGATGGAAATTAAAAATAAATTGAAAAAAGCGATGCTTAGCAAACTTAGATAGCAAATTAGCGATTTATGAATTGGTGGTTTTTGAATGGGGGTAAAACAAAGGACAAGTCTAACGAGATGTACATCATGAGGTGGAAAGCCTTCCTCCCCAGGTCAGAAAATATGCAGGGGCTTTGATTAGAGTGAAAGAATAGGAAGCTGGCATCAGAGACATCATCATTAATTCAAACCCAGAATGGAAGAGCTCCTAAGGTCACTTCAGTAAAGAATTAAAAAAAAAAAAAAAAAAACAGTTGCTGGTGGAATGGGGAGTAAAGTAAGATGTGTGTGTGTATGTGTAAAAGCTTGAGAATTGACTTGAAATAGTTTAATGAGTTCAGAAAATGAAGTAGTCTGCTTGCAAATTAAGAATATTTATATTCTTACGGCTTAAAACAAAGAAGGCACACCATAACTATTTATTGGATGAACAAATGAATGTCATCCACTTAAATACATTTTAGTGACTGTGGTTTTACTTTTTTCTAGATATTAAACCCCTACACCCAGAAAAGAGGATCTAAGAATTGGACAGCCTTTCAGATATGACCATTAGCATTCTGTCCCTACTGTCATTTCTCAGACAGGAAGGAGTCCCACCAACAGCAGAAATAGAGGACTGAGCTGAATATAGGTGGCAAAATAGGGCCATGGTTCTCCTGTCCTGGTTTCAAACCATAATTCCAGCCCCTTAACTGTGGCCTGGGAAGTACAAATGAGAGGAGATGAAGGTCTAATTCAGATTATCCTTATTATTGATACTGTATATCCCTCCCTCCCTAACGAAATCCCATGCCAGTTTTAGGTTCAGAGACATTCTGGATCTTCCTTTAGCAAACCCAAGCCACTGACATTTTCCTAGGAAAGATCTTTTCCAATCATCAGATAAACATAAGGTCCACATTTAAGATGTGGGAGAGTTTTACTCATCCAGTAAACAATCATCAAGCATCTTCTTACTTGAAATAGATTTGTCTCCTTTAATTAGACCAATCCTCAGTATTTCTGTAGCAGTGAACTTTGTTTCCTCTATCATGATTATCTTTCCATAGTTGCTAAGATATAGCTCAAAGTGGAAAAATTATAAAAAGCTTAGAATTCTGAAGTCTGTATATAATTCTATATGTATATGTATTCTATGATAAGCTGGCACAATATTAGAAACTTTATATTCTGATGACACATTTTATTTCTCTGCTTCTCTTTCCTCTAACTACCTTCCCTGTTAATTAATACTTTATCTGATTTGCATGCAGGGTATTAGTTGAAAATCTAGAGCTCAATAATGTAGTTGAAAATCTAGAGCTCACTAATGTAGAAAACTACCATCAGACTAGAAATGAGAGTTCAGATTAATAAACAAATTTCCAAGTGTGTGCATGTGTTCGTATGTGCACCTGCATATTTAAAAGGGACTTTCCCAGAAATTCCAGAATAATAAACTTTGGGCACTGGAGTTGCTTAGAAGGTATACATTCAGTGATTCTTAACTGAGGTTGCATATTACAATCCCCTGAGGAATTTACATGACTCCTTTTTCCCATCGCGGAACAATTGACCCAGCTTCTTGAGGATGGGCCCTGCACATGGGTATTTTTTTTAAATCCATGTATATTCTAATATGCAGCCAAGGTTTAAAAACCCCTGGTTTGGTCAGACCTCTCTTCATACGGATAGACAAAATAAAAACCCTTTAGGTAAGAACTGGGTATGTCAGGTCGTTAGAGACCGGATTAAAAGCCACATAACCAACGCCCATTTCAGAGCAATTTCCATAATAATCCAGCATTAATATCTTGTTAGTTTGGACTTGTTTGAACTTTCCCTTGAGAACAGTAACAGAAGGAATCATGCTTCTTAATTTTTCCCCCCAAATACACTTGAGAAAAAAACCCACCATGCTGTGCAGTAGTATAAATTAACACATGAATTTCCTTTATTTCTCAGTGTCATTGACCTTGCCTTCCGCCAAAAATATGTTAGTCTTTGATTGCTGTGAAGAATTTTTGGAACACATTTATAACTTCCAGTTTTTACAAGGCCAGAAGATATCTCAAATCATTTTAGCATAGGTAGATCCCTTTTTAAACTTATCATATAAAGTATGTGTAGTTCACTTCCCAAGAAACATTCTAAGAAAACAGCACTGATAACATGGCTCATAGTTAGCAGGGTTAAGATAGAGATAGTTAAACATTTTCCTGTTCTTTGACATCTATCTTTTCTGTATGGATATATCTGTTGAGCCCATCAAAGTCTAAAATATTTCAATTCAGCATAAAATTGCAGTACGAATTGTTATATGGCATATATTTTATATTGTGGAAAGATGGAAAAGCATATCTAAATGCATCATGCCTCTACTCAGAAGTAATGCAAATCTTCTGTCTTGCCAGTTCTAGAAATAAATGAAAATGATAGTAGATAAAGACTAGATACACTTTTCTCTTCTGCACTCATGCAAAATCTTATGTGCAGTGATCATCTTCATGCATTAAGCATCTGCTGTAAGCCAGACATTCTACTATGGGCAGAGGAATGTTGACGGCATCGTCTATGCCCTCAACTCTTATCAATCAAAAGCAAGTAAATAAATATAGTTTAAAGTAGGAGAGCAGAAAGAATAAACATTTGACTAAGAAAAAACTTGTAAGTACAAAGATATTCTACAAATTATGAGTAGAGCTATGTGCATTCACACAATTTTCAACTTATTATAAGTCTCCAATATTTACCTAATTAGATAGTTAGACTGAACATGTATGTCTGTGTCTTTTGTGAATTGTGTATGATTTATACTAATTATCACCATAGTACAAGGAATTCATGAATAACAGGTTTTTTAATGATCACTTTTTTTAAAGACCTGAAAAAATGCCCATGACATAGGCGCAGTTAAAGAAGATGGGTGTATTAGAAGGAGCGGGACAGACGGCAGCCTATCATGAACCCCGGAATGCACTTGTGGATTTTACCACCACTCACAATCTGAATTTCCTCATTATCAGCCTGAGAGTTAAACTCAAGGAGATGACATCATTCTAGTCAGACTTCCAAGGGAATGAACTACCTGAACCACTCCACTACTGTGTCCAAAATATTGGTGTCCTTCGTGCTTTTTTTCTACAGTGCCTCTTTCTGACCTGGCAGTCATAGGGAGAGCTCACCAGTAAACATGGATGGTTGTGAGAGAGATGCAATTCAGATCAAATGGAAGTCTGAGGAATCTTCTAAGTAAATGACTTCTCCAGCTGCAAGGAGATCAGGATGTGAGATCTTGATCAACACTGGCAAATTTTGTTTTTAATAATTTTTTTATTTTGTTTGTCACCATACAGTACATCATTAGTTTTTGATGCAGTGTTCCATGATTCATTGTTCGCGTATGACACCCAGTGCTCCAGGCAATACGTGCCCTCCTTAATACCTATCCCCGGGCTCACCCATCTCCCGACACCCTCACCTCTAAAACCCTCAGTTTGATTTCTGGAATTCGTCTCTCATGGTTCACCTCCCCCTCTGATCACCCCCCTTCATTTTCCCCTTCCTTCTCCTAATGTCCTTCATGCTATTCCTTATGTTCCACAAATAAGTGAAACCATATGTTGTCCTTCTGTGTTTGACTTATTTCACTCAGCATAATCTCTTCCAGTTCCATCCATGTTGGTGCAAATGTTGGGTATTCATCCTGATGGCTGAATAATATTCCATTGTATATACGGATGACATCTTCTTTATCCATTTGTCTTTTGAAGGGCATCACAGCTCCTTCCACAGTTTGGCTATTGTGGACATTGTGGCTTCATTCATTGTGGACATGAATATTCGAGTACATAGGTCCTTCTTTTTACTACATCTGTATCTTTGGGGTAGTGCAATTGCTGGGTCATAGGGTAATTCTATTTTTAACTTTTTGAGGAACCTCCACACTGTTTTCCAAAGTGACTGTACCAACTTGCACTCCCACCAACAGTGTGAGAGGGTTCCCCTTTCTCTACAACCTCTCTAACATTTGTTGTTTCTTGTCTTGTCAGTTTTTGCCATTTAACTGGTATAAGGTGGTATCTCAAATGTGGTTTTGATTTGAATTTCCCTTATGGCTAATGATGTTGAACAATTTTTCATGTGTCTGTTAGCCATTTGTCTTCTTCTTTTTTTTTTTTTTTTGAAGATTTTATTTATTTATTTGACACAGAGATAGAGAGGACAAGTAGGCAGAGTGGCAGACAGAAGGAGAGGGAGAAGCAGGCTGTCCACTGAGCAGGGAGCCTGATGTCGGCCTCGATCCCAGGACCTGGGATCATGACCTGAGCCAAAGGCTGCCGCTTAACCAACTGAGCCAACCAGGTGCCCCAGCCATTTGCCTGCTTTGGAGAAGTGCCTGTTAATGTGTTCTGCCCATTTTTTGACTTGATTGTTTTTCAGGTGTTGAGTTTGAGAAGTTCTTTACAGATCTTGGATACCAGCCTTTTATCTGTCGTGTCATTTGCAAGTATCTTCTCCCATTCCATGGGTTGTCTCTTTGTTTTGTTGACTGTTTCCTTTGCTGTGCAGAAGATTTTGTCTTGATGAAGTCCCAAAAGTTCATTTTTGCTTTTGTTTCCCTTGCCTTTGGAGATGTGTTTTGAAAGAAGTTGCTGTGGCCAATGTCGAAAAGGTTGCTGCATATATTATCCTCTCAGTTTTTGATGGATTCTTGTCTCACTAATCCATTTAGAGTTTATCTTTGTGTATATTGTAAGAGAATGGTCAATTTCATTCTTCTATATGTAGCTTTCCAATTTTCCCAGCACCAATGATTGAGGAGCCTGTCTTTTTTCCATTGGATATTTTTTACCTGATTTGTCAAAGATTATTTGACCATAGAGTTGAGGGTACCTATCTGGGCTCTCTTTTCTGTTCCATTGATCTATGTGTCTGTTTTTATGCCAGTACAATGTTTCTTAGTGATCACAGATTTGTAATATAGCTTGAAATCAGGCAATTTGATGCCTCCAGCTTTGTTTCTCTTTTCAACATTTCCTTGGGGATTAGTGGTCTTTTCTCGTTCCATAGAAATTTTAGGATTGTTTGTTCTAGCACTTTGAAAAATGTCATTTGTATTTTGATTGTGATAATGTTGAAAGTATAGATTGCTCTGGGCAGCATAGACATTTTAACAATGTTTATTTTCCAATCCATGAACATGGGATGTTTTTCTATCTTTTTGTGTCTTCTTCAATTTCCTTCATAAGTGTTCTGTAGTTTCTAGAGTATAGACCCTTTATGTCTTTGGTTAGGTTTATTCCAAAGTATCTTAGATCATCTGAGCAGAAAATCAACAAAGAAACAAGAGCTTTGAATGACATACTGAACCAGCTGGACCTCATAGATACATACAGAATATTCCACCCTAAAACAACAAACATGGAACTTTCTCCAGAATAGACCACATACTGGGTCAGAAATTAGGTCCAACTGATATCAAAAGATTGAGATTATTCCCTGTATATTCTCAGACCATAATGCTTTGAAACTGGAAGTCAATCACAAGAAAAAATTTGGAAGAAATTCAAACATTTGGAAGTGAAGACCATCCTGCTTAAGAATGTTTGGGTCAACCGGGAAATGAAAGAACTTTAACAATTCATGGAAAGCAATGAGAATGAAAACACATCAATCCAAAATCTACTGGATACTGCAAAGGTGGTCCTAAGGGGGAAATACATAGCCATCCAACCCTCACTCAAAAAAATAGAAAAGTCCTGAATATACAAATTAACTTTACATCTTAAAGAACTGGAGAAAGAACAATAAAGCAAATAAAGCCCAAGCCAGGCATAAGAAGAGAAATAATTAAGATTAGAGCAAAGATCAATGAATTAGAAACTAGAAATACAGTAGAACAGATCAACAAACTAGAAGCTGGTTCTTTGAAAGAATCAATAAGATCGATAAACCACTGGCCAGACTTATCCAAAAGAAAAGAAAAAGGACCCAAATTAATAAAATTATGAATGAAAAGGGAGAGATCATGACTAACACTATGAAAATAGAAACAATTATTAGAAATTATTATCAACAACTATATGCCAATAAATTAAGCAACCTGGAAGAAATGGATGCCTTCCTGGAAACCTATAAACTAACAAGACTGAAACAGGAAGAAATTAACAACCTGAATGGACCAATAACTAGTAATGAGATTGAAGTAGTGATCAAAAAGCTTCCCCAAAACTGGAGTCCAGGACCTGATGGATTCCCTGGGGAATTCTACCAAACAGTCAAAGAAGAAGTAATACCTATTCTCCTGAAGCCATTTCAAAAAATAGAAACAGAAGGAAAACTTCCAAACTCATTCTATGAGACCAGCATTGCCTTGATCCAAAACCACGCAAAGAACCCATCAAGGAAGAGAATTACAGACAAATATCCCTGATGAATATGGATGCCAAAATTCTCAACAAGACCCTACCTAATAGGATCAAACAGTATATCAAAAGGATTATCCATCACGACCAGGTGGGATGTATCCCTGACATCCAAGGGTAGTTCAACATTCACAAATCAATCAATGTGATAGAACACATAAATAAGAGAAGAGACAAGAAACACATGGTCCTCCCAGTTGATCCAGAAAGAGCATTTGACAAAATATAACATCCTTTCCTGATTAAAACTCTTCAGAGTATAGGGATAGAGGGACTATTCCTCAATTTCATAAAGACCATCTATGAAAGGCCCACAGCAAATAGAATTCTCATTGAGGAAAAGCTGAGAGCCTTTCCCTTAAGATCAGGAAATGACAAGGATGCCCACTCTCGCCCTGTTGTTCAACATAGTACTAGAAGTCCTAGCAACAGCAATCAGACAACAAGAAATAAAAGGTATTCAAACTGGCAAAGAAGAAGTCAAATTCTCTCTCTTCATGGATGACATGATACTTTATGTGGAAAACCCAAGAGACTCCACCCCCAAACTACCGGAACTCATATTGCAATTCAGTAATGCGGCAGGATACAAAATCAATGCACAAAAATCAGTTGCTTTCCTGTAACTAACAGTGTGACTGTAGAAAGAGAAATTTAAGGGATCAATTCCATTTATAATAGCACCAAAAACCTTGATCAACACTGGCAACTTCTGATTCCTGGATTTTCTCTCCTTTACTCTCAAAGCTAGTGATGCCCAAACCATATTCCACAAAACTCTAGCGTGCTGTGTAAGAATTGTTTTATGGGAGATGAATCTTCTCAAAAAGAATACATTTTAACTACTGTCATCTAGCCATCCCCCTCTCTATTATAATTCAATTTTAGCTTTTCTGATCATATTACAGTTCTGTCTCCTTATAATGTCATTATTTCCAGATCTCCTTAGTGGAGGATTAGGAGTTTCCAAACTCTTTAGTCACTCTTATTGAGAACATCACAGGAGGTTGATCATCTTGGGATAATCATGGATGTCTTATATGTGGCTTTTACTTGTTTAATTTTCATTGCTGTTATAGGGGGTTCTAATCTTTGAGCTAGAGGTAGGTAAATAAACCTTCTTGCATTTTCATGCAAGATTGAGAGGAAAACCTACATAAAATATGCATAAATGGGCACTGTCATATTCTTTTTTTAGCACTCTAACAAACATCTTTATTCCATGTGTTTTTAAAAATTATACCACAGCAATATAGAAAGACAATGACATCCATTGGCCATCTCATACTCTTAACAGAAGAATCAATTTAAAAAAAAATACAAAAGGCTTGTACTATAATTTTAGAACATGTATCAATTTTCATGCAAAAGGACAAGTCTAGTCAATCAATAA